CCGACCCAGTGCAATATATCCGGTTAGAATCAAAGCTCACGTATCCTTATTTGAGGGACCAGATTCTGCCGTAAATTCGGGATGGGATTTAGAACAAAATAAAATAGGACTTTTAAGGTATATTTTGGCGTCATTTTCAGACATTTCAATCATTCCTGATGCCTAATATAGAGTCTAAGTTTTACCGTAGTCATTGACGCCTATTCAAGAGTATGATGTTTATTGTGACTAGCGTGAATGGGTAAGCTTCGTTTCGACAATGAGCTGTTATCACTGTAAACAATGTTAAATTATTCTTCACATGCTCAGTTTATTTTTTGAGAACAATTATTTAATCAAAGAAAGCTTAGAAAGAACTCCCATGTGCTGAGAGTATTGGAGACACATTAAATATAATTCGAAATTACTTAGCTGAAAACTAATTATGCAAATCAGAAAATTAATATGACCAGATTTGAGTGTAAAACTAATGAGGTCTGCGCAATGTAACAGAAAATCTATGTCTCCAAGTTTAATTGAAATGTGATTAGAACCAAAAAATTATGAATTATTATGCTTATTAGGGAATTAATATGAACAGATTTTTACCCCAAACTAATTAGGTTTGTACATTGTCCTAGAGCATCTTTATACTAAGTTTCATTGAAATGGAATAATTAGTACCGTGAAAACTCCAAAATTTCGACCCCTCTAAAAATTCGATCGCCTATTTATTTGCCGGGTTTCGGTGTTTTATTTACCTCCAAATTTTCGATTCCACTAAAAATTGCCGACTCATTCTTATTCGAAAATTGCGACCAGTTTTAGTTTTCCCACAAACGAAAAAAAAAACGATGTGAGCGTTCAAACGGGACCTTCCTCGAAGGCATGAATCCGGGTTTCTGATTGACTGAGAGATTTTTATTTTATTGGTAACGAAAATATATTCTAAATAAACGAAGTTTGAAATAAAAACGAACACAAAAATCTCGGCATGCTGCGTTTCTGAATTGTTGATTATTACTGTACTCAGTAGTGATATATATGTA